AGTGTTTTGTTCAAGGGCCATGCAAGTGAACACTACATTTAAAAGGCTCTATGGTGTTGGCTAAAGCATCACATGGCGATGGAACCTGTGATCTGTGGATGCAAGGAGTGCAGATCTCCTCTGCTTCCCCTCCATAGCCCTTTCCAATTCTGAGAAAGTTCATTACTGGGGTAGAGGGATTCATGTGTGCTAATTGCTGCATGGGTTGGGCTGCTGCAGTAGGGAGAGGGGCAGAGTTGCTCCTTTATGTGAGTGGAGCTGTATACACGCAGAGATTTCCCAGAAAGCACATGTAGAAAATTCAAAAGGTGCCACTGAGAAAAATGCAATTATAGAATGGGGCTGATGTTTTTTATACTTTTTCTTGCAAACAAGAAGTTAAGCAAAAAAGACAATTGGGTTTGTAGAAAGCCCATTAGCTATTCTGTCTGAACTTAACCTTTATCCTTAAATCTATGACTCATGACTGAGACTATTGTGAAATCCTATTTTTTTAATTCAATAGGACCCTTAAAATATGAATTGTTACCCATTTGCTACCTCAGTGCCTAATATGCCTCATTAGGTAGCCATCAGTGGGGATAATCATGTGTCAAAAGTTGATTTGTTTGGGATGTATTGGCTGAATCCATTAAATGTTCATTTATAGACTTTTTGTGCTATGAGGTGTAGAACTAGGCTTAAAATGCACAGCAGTCTGTTACTGTTGGGGTGGTTTTGACCTGGGTGCTGGGGAAATGTGCTTTCAGAAGCAGAAATTTTTTTCTAACCCAAGGCTTGAGGGTTAATTAATTATCTAACCTTAGAAGCCAAGTTTTAATACTTACCATAATTGGGAGGCAGATGGATAGACTCAGCTGAAATGCTGTTATTGCTTTGCATATGAATTTTGAATTTTCATCTAAACAAATGCAAATGGGGAAGAAGTGGGAGAGAAGAATGGGTAATCATTTATAGTGTGGGGAGATGGGTCAAAAGGCAAACAAAAGGTGAGCTTTGCACAAATAATACAAGGTGGA